CGCCGAGATCTTCAAAAATACAAAATCAACAATAGTTTTCAACGTTAAAGACAACATTTTAAACGGTTGTCGTTATGAACAAAGACAACGGTTACAGCGGCTTCAACGACAGTCGAAAGACTACAATTTTCAATCATTGTTTTTGATATATAAGACAATGGTTTTAAACCGTTGTCTTTGAACTGGATCTACAACAGCATCGATTTCAACAATAGTGTAAAGACAACGTTTTTTAACTGTTGTCTTTGATATATAAGACAACGGTTGTTTTTGAGCGAGACTTACAACAACACTGACTTCAACAACAATTTATATACAACTATTTTTAACTGTTGTGTTTGATATATAATACAACGGTTAAAAATCATTATTTCTGAACGAGACTTACAACAACGCCGACTTTAACAATATATATATGTATATATTTTTTACCTAAAAGACAATAAGGGTTTTTAACTGTTGTCTATATGTATTTTTCTTGTAGTGAAATAAAATTGCTCATCCACTACTACTAACTATAACTTTTGGTGTAGTGGTAAGCGTTTGATCTTAACAATTGGTTTCCAAGCAAGTTACAAGTTGATCGTGATAAATAGAACTTTTAACACTTAAAAGTTTGTGATATTTACCAAATAACTATTGCATTTTTTTTCTTTACTTTAGAGTCATTAATTATTCTAGATCGAGGACTTGCTTTAGTTCATTACACCTGATTTTTTTTTTTTTAATTTTTAGTACTATTCACTCTATTACAAGGTACCGATTATATATATATATATGTATATATATATATATATATATATATATTTATTTATTTATTTATGTATTTTGAATATTATTGACTCTATTACAAAGTAGTATATGTTTTATACTTTCTCAACTACTACAGTCCAAAGAGTCAATACCCCACCATCGGAGTTCGATTCTGTGACCTTTCCTCAAGGGGAGCCATAGAGGTGCATCTGAGCACAAGGTGCTTGGCTGACACCCGAATATATATACATAAAAGAGAAATTAAAGAGACTGGAACAAAATCTTCTCTTTTATATCAAGCATACATTAGATTAGCATGCCAGTACATTGCATTTAAGAAAAGATCCTCCAATTAAATTTTAAAAAATTAAAGAAACAAACAAAAAACAGTGGCACTGACTCAGCAAATTAAAGACAAGGGGGAGCCACCCTGGAGCATTTTTTTTTTTCCAAAAAATTGATGGAAATTCAATTCTCATAGTGAGATGGGTCCAATAATCAGGAAATGTCTATAGTAATGCAGCTTCATGATGCTGCTTTCCCAGGTTTGGGACAATCTTTATATACCAACAGATTTCATTTTCAAATATCAAGAAGCTATTGATGATAATCAGATATTAATGTATTATGTATATAGTTGTACCACACTCCGTTTCTCTTTTCTTTTTTTTTTCTTTTTTTTTTTTAAAGTAACGAGAAAAATTTACTATCACTGTTGGAGATTGTGTACTCATTATATTAGGAAAATTTCACTTTGCCCGTATGGATTTAGTTCATTGGTTCAGTATGCAGTATTTGAGAGAAGATGCCAAAGTTCGAACTTCAGTAGCGACAGTGTGGAGATTATGCCCAAATTAAAGTGGGCAGATCCCTTGTACGCCTCGTTATTTGGCCCTGTCTGTTGAGTCCGTGCCAGGGTGTGGGGGGACTCTTGAGGTTGGGGAATCAACCTTTTGAGAGAAGAAGGCTCACAAATACTCTACCGGGTCGGGGTGTGGGGGACCCTTGAGGTTAGGGATTTAACCTTTTGAGATAAGGTAAATGTCACTTTTGTGTAATAGTCTGCACATTACATGAGAGATAAAAATTGCATTAAGTAGATTTTGTGTGACGGACTCAATTAAGAAGGGGGTGACAAGAAACTTTAAACTTAAAGTAACTGGCTGTGATTGAAAGGAGTTTGCACAAAAAATATAATGTTGCCAAAATCTAGTCACTAGATCTTGTCTCCTCACTGCAGCTTGTCTTTCCACCCCTTTGTTAATAATGATAGTATATATACAAGTTTTGCACTAACCCTTCCCTACCAAACTACATCAGGAATATAATAGAAAGAGCCTAGCTCCTAAATTATACTCAAAGGTGGCTTAATTGTGAAAAATCTAAAATTGCTAACATAAATATCATAAATTTATCTTTAATTTTAATGTTCACCTCAATAAAACTCTTTAGAATTTAGGGTGTGTTTGGTTCGCACGTAGGAATTGGAATCGGAATCGGTATCAAATACTTGGTAATGGTAATGGGTTTTGGTGAAAGTATTTAATATGTTTGGTAGTAGGGTGGAATGGGAATGGTTACTAATAGTAGTGCTTGGGAATGAATAAGGGAATGAAACCCTTATATTATTTGGGTATGGGTTTTTCAATTGATGGGGTATTCGAAACCCATAGTGGTGTTCTAAAAACCTATCAACCAAACAACAACAATCACTTTCATACTCATTCCTATGGGCAAAACCCACCAACCAAACACACCCTTAGATTGTCCATGAATTTGGCTATCTCACTATGAGCTTAAAAAGAATTCATTTAGCCACGGCACACATTGGTTGACCATGTCACTAGTGGAAATTATTGAATTTCCGACCACCTGAAAGTAATCTTAAATCAAATTGAAAGTAAAGGTGGTCAGAAACAGCAATAAAGGTTTTTTCGGATACCAAAAGTGATCGAAACAAGACTTTCGACTTAATTTAAGATCTTTTTCAGGTGGTCGGAAATTCCATAATTTCCAGTAGTGTGTCAGGATTAAATGCTTACTATTATGTTAAAAGTCATAGCTAATAACAAATGTACAATTTTATTTCTTTATACTTGCGTAATAGCTTATCTTGTTTTGTTAGCAGATGTAGTGTGCCGGTTCGAATCCTACTAAAGAAGTCATATTAATCCGTACCATTTTAGGTACTAATAACAAGTGAAGGTTTCGGATAAACTAATCAATCAAACACTATACATACATTTGGAAGTAAATACTAGGAGGTAAATTAAATTTACAAGATGGGGCTATGTAGCAAAATTCCAAGTGATTTCTTGTCAAATGGATTGAAGTGATGGATGGAGGTGAAGACAAGTGATTGAACCTAGCTGAGATGATAACATTTACATCTCATCTGGATCCCTCTACAGCATATATAGGCTAAGTTAGAGGCCAGAAATGAATGATCACCAATAATGAAAAAGATTCCCAAACATATGCAAAATTAAAGCATTAAAACATATGGAGCTGATGAGGTTCATGTCCACACTAATTAATTCGATCTCCCTATCATAATTCTTGTATGTTCATGTTTCCAGATATCTGTCTGGTCTCAATCTTATGTTAAATCGATCAGATTATTCTGGGTAGACGTATATTAAAAAAAGAAAGAAAAAAAAAAGGGTTCTGCTAATAGATTATTCATATTTTTTGTTTTCTAAATGGATAAGTAAACATACTTATAGAAATGTGGTAAGATGACACGAGTTTCTTTCAACCATTTTTAAATTAAAAAAAAATCCTAAGTTAATAAACGCACTATATGACCCTGTTTGGTAACATAGTTAGCTTATCAGTTAATTTTGGTCCTGTTTGACTTGGTTAAACAATCAAGATGAGTGATTGATTGATTAGCTTTTTATAACAGCTTATTGTTCCAAAATATTAAAATTCAAAAATCAGCTTTTTGAAAAAGTATTTTTACATGTAATCAGCTAAACAGCTAATTTACCAAACACTTTTCTCCCATCAACTAATGCTATCAACTAATTAAACTTACTATCCAATCAGCTAGCAGCTATTTACCAAACACCCTTATATTTTCACCAGAAGTCTGACAAATTAAAAGGTAAGTGTAGTGGGAAAAGGGAACAAAATAATGCATTCCCCCATGGCAAAGGAATCAAATCGCTGCCCTAACGACAAGGAATTGAAGGGTGTGGGCGTGTGGCACCAGCTAACCATATGTGCATTATTTGCATATATGCGCAGACCATGACCATCCTCTCACACAATTGAATTATATTCCAACCCTAATAGTTCTTGTTTTTTCTCCCCAAAATTTTAATCGAAAAGATAAATTATGAGATATGTTTCAATAACTTTTTATAAAGTTTTCAAAGTTCGTGTCTGTACACCGATCAAAGTCTATCAATTATACTTCCCCTTTATAAGAATCGAACAGTACACTTTACTACAACTGTAACTGTCAGTAAAACATAATAACTTTAAATTTAATCAACAGATTGAGTTGTATCCCGAGCTCTCGACATTAACATGAGGTCAGGAATCTAGGTCCTTGTAAGATCGACCCACTAGCTATGATCTTGACTAACTAGTTTGGGTTCCAAATGCAATATATCTGCCAGAGAGAGAGATCATCAGCTTTCGTACCTACATTATTGGTGCCGGACTAATATGTATGTATCTACCCCTATAATTAATATCATTAAGCAGTAAATTTTATATGGTTAATTTAACCTTATATTTTAAGTATTTTGATCATTTTTGTACCCGACATTAACAATTCAACTAAATACACTCCTCGTCCTTCAATGTAACTATTTTAACGTACCCCTCTAAATATAAAAGATTTTTCTTTTTTTAAAGTAAAAACATTTTTAACTTTGCAACACAAAAAATACAATAGACTGAACTATCATATATTATTGGCTCAAGTGTCATTCCGCACCCTGAATCAATAGCGATTTGTCATGCCGCACCTTGACCTTTCAAAATTGCCGATTCGATGCACAAACCAAAAATTTTTTGACGTCTAGCATTTTTTACAGGTTTGCAGGTAAACCTGATGACATGGAGCCGGTAGTATTGACATGTAAGTATTTTTTAATTTTTATTAAAAAAAAAAACTGACACCACCGTAGCCTTCGCCTCTCTCATCCCTTTTGCTCTCTTTCTCTCTCGTTGTCGGGCGTTCCTTTCCGGCGAAGCAAGTAGCCAGCGACGATGGCAGCTCCCATCCCTTCTCATGCTTCTCTATTCATCTTCGCCCCCTCTTCCTTGTTAATGGTAGCACGGCGCCAGCAGCAATGCAGATTTGACGACTCCTTGGCGTCCTCTAGTCCAGCGTGAACAGATCCGACAATAGCAGTGGACAGCGGTGGTTGGTGGCGTCTAGAAGCAGCGATGGGACGAGCTCCGCCCTTTTCCCCTCTCCTCTCATCTGAACCGGTTGTCTCCAGAAATCCTCTATGTGTCTCCTGTTACAAGGAGTTCATTGGCAGCAAAACCAAAGCCAGTGATATCGTGAATTCCGTTCTGCTCATCATTGGTCCAGTTGTTGATTTAGCCATGGATTTTAACCTGATTATAAAATCTTGTTGCCTAAGGACTCTGGGAATTCATTGGCGGTTGGAAGTATAGGAATTAGGATAATAGTTAATTGGAGTTGGTGGGAATGATGATAGAGGCTGTGATTGGGGAGGCATGCTGGGATGTGATCTGGACCAGGTGATCCATCATGCCTTAATTCTTCATAAGTTTCTAGGTGAGTGATCCATCAAGCCTTAATTCTTCATAAGTTTCTAGGTGAGTTTACTTTACCGTACGTTTTCTGAATACTACTAAACTTTCCAGCTTGTTGTTGAGGAAACTGTGGAGGAATATTCATTTCCATTTTTTCCAACTGTGGAGGCATCTGGGGGTTTATTCCAGAAGCAAAACGGAAACCCAAGTCAAAGCTTTTAACTCACAAAAGAAAAGAAGTGATGAAGAATCATGGGAAGGGAGTTGAAACGCACTGGAAAGTAATGTCAAAAGTGGAGAGATAAAAGCTTTACATGTAAGAGCCTGAGATGTGTTGCATTTGCTTACAAAGAAATAACTACTGAATGGGAGGAATATTGAAGGAAGGAGACAATATAGATGGTGTAGTAGTCAATGGAACAACGTTCAGAAATTACTCAGAAGAAAAACGAATTAAATGACAAAGTATTACTAGTTCTAAGTTAGTTTCGCCTTCTGCCAAGTTTTCAATGAGTTCAACGCAAGAAAGTTTCCGCTGGAGTATGGCCCTAGAAAGGCGTGCATTATGTACAGAATCACCCCGGCACTCCACACGTCCACCTTCTCGCTATACTCTCTCCCCATCAACACTTCCGGTGCCACATAGTAGGGCATCCCCACCACCCCACTCATCGCCACCTTCTCTTCGTACCCTCTGAACCACTTCATCGACCCGAAATCGGCGAGCTTCAGGCTCCAGTGAGAGTCTGACGTAACAAGACGTTATCGGGTTTTATGTGGAGGTTGGAAATGTTGAAAAAGCTAAGTCAAAAATGGCTGACATGTCATATTTTTAATACATATTTAAACAAGTCAATAAAAAAATATATCCACATCAGCAACTTATAACCGGAAACTTAAAAGTAACTTGTAAAAAATGCTAGGTGACAAAAAAAATTTGGTTTGTGCATCAAATCGGCAGTTATGAAAGATCAAGGTGCGGCATGACATATCACAATTGGTTCATGGTGCGATTTGGCACTTTAGCCTATATTATTTAATATATCGTTTAATGCTACGTTAAAAGTCGTGACCTGCTCTAATACTAATTATTAATTATTAGGATTAACGTTTACCACTACACCAAAAGGTATAGTTAGTACGGTTATGTTTCGATGACATGATGCTGGACTCACTCTTTCATGCTTTTGTAAAACCAATTACCCATACGAATCGTTTGTAAATCTCACAAATTTCATAAGAAATTTATTTATATGTTATTGAAAAGAATGCACAAAATATAACAAATGCTGCCTAGAATTGTGCACTTGAAGGCAAAGAAACATGCACTTGAAGACATAAAAATGTGCACTTGAAAGTAAAAAATCTGCATTGAAGGAAAAAATGGTTTACTTGAATACTATGTATTTTTTTTTTTTTACACAATAGTAAAACATGCATACACTTGTAGGCATTAAATTGAGCACTTGAAGGCATAAAGAGGATCACTAGAATGCAAGGGAGAGAAGGAAAACAAAAAACAAAAGGACACTAAGGCTCCGTTTGGCAGAGCTTATAGCTTATTTTAAGCTACTAATAAGCTATAAGCTCTGTTTGGTAATTTTCCCAAAATAAGCTTCTAGCTTCCTAACTTTTTTATTCATCTTTATCCTTATTATTTTAAAGAAATGACATAGTTTGCCCTTTCTAATTAAAACTCTTTTCTCTTATCCTTTGTCCGCAACTTTCACCGCAAATATTATTATTATTATTATTATTATTATTATTATTATTATTATTATTATTATTATTATTATTATTATTATTATTATTATTAGATTTGCAACAATATTGCTACTTTATTATGAGATGCTAGATCATGATTATGCTAATAGTTTTATTTCAAAATGTTAATTTTTTTTAAAGACAAAATGTTAAATTATAATATGTAAACAAACTAATTTAAATTTTATGAAGATGTCCGTTTTAGTCTTTTTACATTTATCAGCTTATCAAAAAGCTAATTTTACCAAACACTTTCAATCATAACAGCTAGCTTAACAGCTCTTTAGTTTTCAGCTCCGAGCTTATAGTTTTTCAGCTTTCAGTTCCTAGCTTATAGCTTTTCAGCTGGGTTTGCCAAACAGAGCCTAAAAGAAAAAATTTGAAAGAAATTAATTGTGTATTTTTAGAAAGGAAAACATGCACTTGAAGACTACAAAACGTGCACTTGAAGGCTAAAAACATGCAGTAGAAGGAAAAAAAATGGTTCAATGGAATGCCAAGTATTATTATTTTTTTTAACACAATAGTAAGATGCACATGCACTTGTAGGCATGAAATTGAGCACTTGAAAGCATAAAGAGGATCACTAGAATGCAAGGAAAAAAAAGATACTAAAAGCGAAAATTAGAAGAAAATTAATTGTGCACTCTTAGAAAGGAAAACATGCACTTGAAGGCCAAATTTTGCACTCAAAGGCACAAAAATGTGCACTCAAAGAAGAAACTAATTAAGTACTGAAACAAAATAGATGCACTCGAAGAAGAGAAATATGCACTTGAAGAAGAAAAAATATGTACTTGAAGAAGAAAAATATGCACTCGGATACAAAAGACAATCTGAATTACTTAAAATTATAAATATGCCACCGCGCATTTTTTAATTAATATGCAATATGGACTGTTGATTTGGATTGCATCTACAGTTGGCAATTGTGTGTGTGTGTGTGTGTGTGTGTTTAGGATCAGGTGCACATGTCACTTCCCGTGCAAAAATGCGGTTTGTGCACTTGAAGGCAAAAAAATTACATTCGTATGCAAATATATGTGCAATTGATGCAATTTATGGTACCAAAAAGGGAGGTTATTCAACTTAAGTGTTATTAAGCCAATTACCCATACAAATCGTTTGTAAATCTCACAAATTTCAGTAGAAATTTAGTTATATATTATTGAAAAGAATGCACAAAATATAACAAATACTGCCCAGAAGTTGTGCACTTGAAGGCATAAAACTGTGCACTTGAAGACAAAAAATCTGCACCGAAAGAAAAAAAAGATTCACTTGAATGATAAGTTTTTTTTTTTTTTTTACACAATAGTAAGACACACATACACTTGTAGGCATTAAATTGAGCACTTGAAATCATAAAGAGGATCACTAGAAGGCAAGTGAGAGGAAAAAAAAAGGACACTAAAAGAGAAAATTCGAATGAAATTAATTATGCACTATTAGAAAGGACAACATGCACTTGAATGCTACAAAACGTGCACTTGAAGGCCAAAGATTTGCACTCAAAGGCACATAAATATGCACTCAAAGGGGAAACTAAGTATTGAAATAAAAGTGATGCACTCGAAGAAGGAAAAATTAGCACTCGAAGAAGGATAAATGTTTACTCGAATACAAAAGACAAGCTGACTTTATTCAAAATTCTAAATATGCCACCGCGTTTTTTTTAATTAAAATTCAATTTGGGTTGTTGATTTGAATTGCATCTAAGGCTGGAAATTGTTGGATCTTTTACTTGTTGAGGCTTGTATGTGTGTGTGCGCGATAATTGTTATTTGTTAACATGGGTTATCTTGTTAGGTAATGTGGAATAATAAGAATAGTGAATTAAAAAAAAAAATCTAAAATTGGTTTGGGGCAGGCAGGATGAGGTTTATAGTGTTTCGTAAGATGAAACACTTAAAATTTGAAGAGCATCGAATTGAAATCTTTGGGGGTGTGGGTTAGTTTCAGCTTTACTGCTGTATCTAATCATCAATTGTGGATTGTAGGACCAAATGCTCTCATTAAATGGGCAACGACCCTACATTCCTCTCTTTTTATTTTCTTTTTCTGCTCAAATTAATATTTTTCATTTTATAATTAAGAATGAAAGATAAAAAAAAAAAAATTATAATCCCCATGACCCATTATATTCTAATCTTTCTACATTCTTTGCCCTAGCTTACTTCAACTCCTTAACTCAAAAAAAAAAAAAAAAAAAAAAAAAAAATCTTACAAATCTATATATAAGTTAGAAAAATAATTAATGGGACTTTGACTTTGTTAGGACTTGGAAATCATTGTGTCTTAGATTTTAATGGTGCTAGGAATGTATTAGGACTTTAGATACCTCATCTCTTTTATCTCTAGTCATCGTCAAAACTTAGAGTTTTTCTTGTAAATCAACTTGAGTTTGTTCAAGCTGATCAACGTAGGAATCAGCTGAGGTTCTGTCAAAGGATCTGCTGCTATAGTATTTCAGTGGGGTTGAAGACGACAAAACAACAAACAACAGACCATCGGAGACAGACAAGTGAACAACTGAACATCAAAGGCAGACAAGCAGAAGTATGACCATCGGACATATGACAAGTTGGGTTCCTAGCAAGTTATCATAAAATTGTTAAGTCTTTTCAATCAGCGAAGTCTCTTTCAATGCAAGTCAAAAACTGAGGACTCTTCTAGAAGGAGACATGTGTATTAATCTAGTGGCTGATGAGGAAAAGACAAAAGTGCTATGTTGCACATTTCTTTTTAAAAATTGTGCTAACTCTGAGGAAAGGACAAAGTTTGTTACACATAAGAAGACAAAGGTACATTTGCAGCACGTTGGACTTGTCACACTAGGGGCCTAGGGGGCAACGGTCAAATTCGAATTTGTGGAGAATAACCAGCATGCCCTTACCTCTTTGCTATAAATAGAGGACTCTAGAGCTCAGAAAAGTAGTTGGATTGTTGGGATTTGCTAATGAATTGTTGTGGTGCTTTTGCAAAGTTTTCAAGAGATTTTCAAGTGCAAGACAAAGACAAAGCTTCATCGTTGTATTCAGAAGTAACTTAGAGCTTTCTTTGTGAATATCCATATTTACGTCCATCAGTTTGTGCAAACAAGAAAAAATCATAATCATTTTGTTTGTGGTTCAAGATTTCTTGCTCAAGAGGACTTGGTGGTTGATCCTTGGAGTAACAAATCAGGTGTTGAAGATCTGCGAAGTGTACATCTGGATCGAAGGAGCATCAACCTTGGTCAACAATCCTTCATGATACACTGTGTGGCCCTTCCACTATATTTAAGCATATAATATTAGTGGAACCTCCTTCGACGTTAAGGAGAAGAGTGGAGTAGGCATTTTCGAACCACTATAAAAATTCTCTCTATCTTTTAATTTATGCACTTTACTTTATGCGATTTATTTGTTTTCAGCTAATTGAATCAGTTCACACACAAAGCACGCTTTTTAGCTCACTTTTTTAAAAAAACAAAAAACAAAAAACAAACAAACAAACAAACAAAACGCGCTACAAGTTTTAGACTCCTGCTGCATATTAACTAGCTTCCAACTGGTTAATACACTTTGTTTTTAACCGCAATTTATTTTAAGTAGAATTTTGAAAAAGTCTATTCAACCCCCCTTCCCTTCCCTCCCCCTCTGTAGACTTTTTATCTCTTTTGAGACCAACAGACTCTAACTGAGTTGGTTGGGCAACCTCGCAGTTGAGTTGGTCAACCAGGACTTGCCTAGACTAGTTTACGTTTTCAGGGTACTTTAACGGCTAAGATCTTATATTGAGGATAGACTTCATCCAATGTTCAAGGTGGGTAGTAGCTGTGAATTTTCCCATCAATCAAAGAAAATAATTTGTGTACACATAAAATAAAGAAACAATAATACAATATTTTACTTCAAAAGTTTAATCAACCAACTGACTTACTAAATACCCAATATAGTTGT